CCCCCCCCCACCCGCGTGCGTATTGGATATGTTGTAAAAATTCTCCAAATTTAGCTCTTACTAAGGAAACATAGCCTCTTCTGCTACTAAGCTCCTCTTTAATGTTTCAACCTAGTATAGTCATTTCTTCTTGTTATTAAGCTATGAATTATGATACTTATCCGCAAAAGCATTTTCAGGGTGTCCGGGCTAGATTGGTTGACAAGGACTTTGCTCCAAAGGTAATGAATTGTCTTCTGTGCATGCTTAACTTCCTCTCTCCCTCCTGTCCCTTATACTTTTTAGCTAGGGGAAGATGAGAAAACTTATTCGTTCTTGTACTGAACATTCAGTGGGATCCAACACGGTTGGAGAAAGTTACCACCAACATGGTTGACTGCTTCTTTACCCCATTAGATGAATTAGAACCCGAACTCAATTTGGCCACTGCAATACGAGAGCCTTCTATGTGATTCATGCCACACTTTGCTCTGCCTACGAGGCGTTCTATACTCTGTTGAATCCATCACAGTAATGGGATCCGCAGAAGACATTCCTATCAAGATGTTGGGTAGTTTTCATTCCCTTGGAGCAGATGTAAACGGCTGAACTGCACTAATGTCTGTTTAGGTATTAGATGGTCGTAAAAGAAGAAAACGATACGGCAAGCTGCAAATTGCTAATTTCCTTCATCTTTTACTCAATACGAGCCATGTTTCTGATGTTGAGAAACCTTTGAAGAATTGCTTTTCATGCAGACATGAAAAGAATATATATCTTGTGAAATAAATTACCAATACCATGGTACCTTAAGAAAGTTTTGCATACATTTGTAGAACCATGGATAAGTGCAGACAATTTTTTTGCAGGAGCAATACTAAATGCATTTGAATTTTGACTAATATTTCAGTCTTAAATAGCTAAGCTACATGTTGATTTTAATGTCCCAACGTGGGGGTAAGGTTTGCGTACACCCGACCTCCCCAAACCTTGCTTATGAGACTATATTGTTGTAGTTATCATTCAAGTGAGAAAATAATGTCTTGTGAAATAATGTTTACCAGTATCATGGTATGTTCTATTGCTTCATTCTTTTTTGATGACCATGTAGGGGTGAAAACTTTGGTTCGGTAATTTTGATTTTTCAGTTTTCAAGAATATTATATCACTATCATACAAAATTTAATTTGGTGTGGTTCAATATTTTTTTAAGTTTGATTTCGATAACTATATTTTGTTCAACCTCGACTTACATATACTTATATGATAAAGAATTATGATTTTGCTTTCAAGATACTCTACACTTTACATATATAGAGTACAAACAATTTCTTTCGTTAATTTATTATATAAAAATGATATTTTAATAAAAATAAAGTATCGAAATTTGAAGTCTAAACAACTAATTTTATACTAATACTAATATTTATTACTATCATAATAATCTTTTTTTTACTTTTTTTTGTCAAATCGCTTTGTAATACTTGTAAATGATAAAAAAAATTTTAGAGAATATAATAAAATAAGTTATGTGTTTAAATAACTTTTCCAAAATTTATAGTTACATAATTAGCTTCTCTATATAATGAGTCTATAAGAATATTATAGGGAGATTAATGTTTTGTTCTAATGAGGATGAAGGATTAAAGGATTAATGTAAGGGTAGATTTAATTCTAAATTAGAAATGTGGTAAATCATAATAAGTCACATGACTATTTTAAAAAGCAAAATTTAACGAAATTCAGGATTAGTTAAAGGGATATTCTTGAATTATTTGATACAATACGACTCAAAGTAGAAGATTAGTAAAACTTCTGTTTTATGCCACGAAAATTGTGGGGTCCTAAAACTTTGGTAATATTGGATTATTAGTTTATATTTTACCTAAAAATTATTAATATTCGTAGAAAAAGAAATTACAAAATCTATATAAAAAATAAGGAGAGAAAGATTGTTTTTCTTTTGAGAAATATTTTAGAGTTTGAATTAAACTACTCATATCTTCATAATACTAATAATAAACATATGACTAACATCTTATTAATCTGAAATAACTTTAATAACGTTATTACTTATTGCTATTAGATTTTAATCATAAACTTAAAAACATGTACTAATATTACACAATACATATGGATAAAAAAAGTGACTTATTGTTTGCATAATTTGTATAATACATAACTTCTATTAAAAAACTGAGGTCTTTTATTAAAAGTTAATTACAAATTAATAATGTGTTATTTGATCTTTTAATTATTTCATTCGACTTTTTAATCATATATGTAATCTCAGTAAATCATGGTAATAAATTTTACTATATAAAATAATAAAATATTGGACTTTAGAGGTAAAAAGAGAGTGTATAAGATTATTTCTTTAAAAAAAGTAAATGAAAGAACACATTGTTTAGTCACAATTGTAGGAAAAATATTTGGTAAATGATCGAGTTTTTTTATTTATAAAAAATACAGAGATAAATCCGCGATTAACTTTCGATTCCTTAATTTTATGATAACACTATCATCATTTACTATTCTTTTGGTGGACTATATCTCCATTGGTTCCTAAAATTTATAACAATAATCTCAACCTTGTTTTTTATTGACTGTTAATTTCTAAATTTTATTATAAAAATTTCAGCCTTATGTTTTCCTATTTTGTTGATTGACTAAATCTTTTGCTTTTCCTAAATTCTATAACAACCATATCAATCATATTTTTCCTATTTTGTTGATTGACTATATCTCTAGATGTTCCTAAATTCTATAACAACAATATCAATATATTTTTTAAAATTATTATTCTATTGTTGACTTTATCTCTATCTTTCCCTATAAATATTCTTCACACTCTTTCAACTTTTTCATCAGTTTCTATTTTCTCTGAATTAGATTTAAAAAGAAGAAAGTTTGTTCGTCAGAATGGTGATTTTAAAGAATCGATCTCTTTGCCTTTTTCTATTTATGTTTTTTCTTGTGTTTATTGAGGTTCATGCGTCACATGAAATAAATCGAAAGCTACAGTCTACCAGTCATAATGTGGTAAAAAAAATCTTAAGACCTAAATTTCACTTCAGACCTCCTAAGCACTGGATCAATGGTATGTCTTTTTCTCTAATCCTCTCCGCTATACAATATATATGGACTATTCATATTCATATTCATAAGTAGGATCTAATATATAACGTTTGAGTTCATGTAAAATATAAATCGAAGGAACCTTATTATTTTACTTGTCCTTTTCTTCTTCTTTTATTTTAGTGTTTGAAACACAAATATTCTGAAATATTATATTATTAATTTACAATATTTTAAATGTGTTCACTTATTTGGGAGAGATAGTTCAATATGTAAATTTAATAGTTTAAGACTTTTCAAATTTAATATTTATTAAAATTTTAATAATTTAACCCACACATATGTGAAAAAATTACTAAAATTTTAATAATTGAACTCGGCAAAAATAAACTAACATGCATGTGTGCTTTTAGCTGCTTATTCATATTTGATTGTCCTTTTTTTTATTTAATTATTTCATTATAGTTATATTTTCACATAATAAGGTAATCCTTATTCGTATTATATATGCTTTAATACTTGTATATGATCCTTATTCGTGACGATACTAATAAATATATAAGGAGATGTGCTGTAAAAAACATGATTATCACAAACAATAGTTAAATAATTATTCTCTTTTAATCTTGATAAAAATTAGTATTATTTAATATAATTGATGCAAATAAGTTTTTACATGATATAATATTTATGCAACTAACTCTGCTTTGTGATATTTTTTCAATTGCAATGAAATGCTTTTACTAATCATTTTAATTTAATTCCTTTTTATGTGGTGGTCTTGGCTGGATGGTCCGAACAACAACATTAGATCCCACTGGTAAGATCGAGTTTTATATTTATTAGTTTTCACTATATTTTTACCTAAATCTCAATTTATTTATATTAATTTTTTTTTAATAGGTCCAATGTATTACAATGGTATCTATCATCTATTTTATCAGTACAATACAAAAGGAGAAGTATGGGGAAATATTGTTTGGGCTCATTCAGTATCCGTAGACATGGTTAACTGGATCAATTTAGAGCATGCAATTTATCCATCAGAAGTGTTCGACAAATATGGTACTTGGTCTGGATCAACCACTATTCTTCCGGGGAATAAGCCTGTTATTCTCTACACTGGAATAGTGGATGACGAACAAACTCAAGTACAAAATTATGCAATACCAGCTAACTTGTCTGATCCATTTCTACGTAAGTGGATCAAACCTGATAACAATCCGTTAGTAGTCGCTGACGAAAGCATCAACAAGACCAAATTTCGTGACCCAACTACAGCTTGGTTAGGTCAAGATGGGAGTTGGAGAATGTTGGTTGGTAGCCTTAGAAAAAACAAGAGAGGATTAGCAATATTGTATCGGAGTAGGGACTTCATGAAATGGACCAAAGCCCAACACCCATTCCATTCAGCTGCTAAGACTGGAAATTGGGAATGTGTTGATTTTTTTCCAGTATCATTGGAGAATACAGATGGTTTGGACACATCAGTTATTGGCAAAAAAATTAAACATGTTCTAAAAGTCAGTCTGGATGATACCAGATGGGACTATTACACAATTGGTACTTATGACACGAAAAAAGATAGATATGTTCCGGACGATACAATGATCGAAGGATATCACGGATTGAGACTGGATTATGGTAATTTTTATGCATCAAAGACTTTCTATGATCCTAGCAAGAATCGAAGAATTTTGATGGGATGGTGCAACGAATCCGATGTTTTTCCAACAGATGACATCTACAAAGGATGGTCTGGAATTCAGGCTATTCCTCGTAAGTTATGGATTGATCCTAGTGGTAAACATTTAGTCCAATGGCCTATTGAAGAATTAGAAACCTTGAGAAAGAAAAAGGTTGAGCTAAGAAATTATAAATTGAACAAGGGAGAAAATGTAGAAGTTCAAGGAATTACACCTGCCCAGGTTTGACCTTGTTTTTTGGTTTACTATATATATAAATTATTGTGACCTATAAGTACATGTTTGAGTTGTCAAAACAATTACTAAAATTTATGTTAGAACATCCTACATCATTTCGTATGGAATTTGCAATAACGCAATATGTTTTATGATTTGAATTAATTTTTTGTATGAAATTTTTCTGACAAGACTAATTTATAGCTAATTTGTGTGTGTTAATATAATGACAGGCTGACGTTGAAGTTACATTTTCCTTTTCAAGTTTGGAAAATGCAGAAGAATTTGATCCTAGTTGGGTTGATCTCTATGCCGAAGATGTATGTGCAATTAGGGGTTCGACAGTTCAAGGTGGACTTGGTCCATTTGGACTCCTAACATTATCTTCTGAAAACTTGGAAGAGTATACACCTGTATTCTTTCGAGTGTTTAAAAATCAAGATAAATATAAGGTTCTCATGTGCTCTGATGCCTCAAGGTTTGTCTATTGATCACACTTTTCTTATTTGCAAGTATCTCTCCCCTTAAACTAGAGAGATCTCAGGTTTAAATTTTCGAAATGAAAAAAATACTTATAGAAAGCGCTCCTCCTATTAAATGGGTCTAATGCAATGCAAATGAGTTTTGGATATCAAATAATTATAAATATAAAAAGATTTGTTATCTTTATGCTTTTGTATTTGGCTAACCTAATCATTCTATTTTTTTTGCGACAGGTCAAGCGTTAGGAATCACAAAAAGATGTTCAAACCCTCATTTGCTGGGTATGTCGATGTTGATCTAACAGACAAAAAGTTGTCACTAAGGAGTTTGGTAAGCTTTCTTTGGTACTTTTTTCCTATAAAATACACTTAAAACTTATATTTCAACTCATTTTTCTATTTTGTCGCATTGACAAGTAGTTTAATTTTTTTTTCCAGATCGATCACTCCGTGGTCGCAAGTTTTGGTGCTGGTGGAAAGACATGTATTACATCACGAGTTTATCCAGCTTTATCCATCTATGGTGATACACATTTGTTTGCTTTCAATAATGGTACTGAGACAGTCAAAATTGACACTCTTGATGCCTGGAGCATGGATAAAGCCGACATGTAAAACTAAAAAATCCTAGGAGAAAAGAAGAAAACATAATTGCGTTCAATTTTCATTTCTCTTTTCATGTTGGCCTTTTTTTTTAATCAAGCTTGTACAGATTCACTACTTCTATGAGTCATGAAATAAAATATTCTTCTTTTCCTATTTAATCGAATTGATGATGCCTTGATATATAGTGCAATTATCTTTCTACCGAGTTCAAATTTCATATCAAAATACACAAATAATGTTTACTTATTTCTTGTGTGTATATATGAGGCACAAACAAATAAAGGACTTATATACTTGCAAATCAATGAAATGAAATTAAACTTTTTTCCAGCTATATAGAAAAATCAAGAGCTTTCTTTGCCATCGTTTTGTCCTCGTGTAGATTAAAAGCTTTCACGAACTGATATCGAGACTAGATTTATAACTACACTTAGATAAGGATAATTTTTCGTCTTCATCTCTTTTCCGATGTATCTGACCACATAAAACTCTACTTATTGGACATTATAGAGGTTCAACGTGAACTATGTTTGGTGTATACAACTTATTAATGTTATGTAATATTCTCCACACTCTAATATTAATAACAATTTCTATGGTTAATGAAAATTAAACTAGACCAATATGTAAGCATTCAAATCCAATAATTAATGCTAGAATCGATTTTCATTTTAAAAAAAATAACAAAATCATAAATATCCGATAGACAAGAAAATAAAAGTTTTATCTTTGACCAAAATAGTCTCCTGGTTCAACTATTCATAAGCCTCCTCCCTCTGGGGTAAAGATTTAATTAGCAAGAACTCAGACCAATGTCTCGCTTGTTCAACACTGCTAGCTATTATAAGAGGATGTCTCCCCCTCGAAATTACTAGTAGCTTCGATTGTTGAGTCTTGTGCTGCAAGTGAATTACTCTATAATTTTAGTCAGAAATAATAATCATATAATACTATTGTAGGTGTCCGGCCTAAAAGACCGGTGGTATTTCTCACTATTTGACTATTTGTTATCCAATACAAAAATCAATTAGTCATCTTAAACTAGCTAATGTTGTGTATTATCAACGATTTCTACATAAGGTGGTAATATGATATTTTGAGCAGTTACATATCTAAGACCTTTGACACAAATAGACGTGTCAAAAGTTCCATATAGATTATTCCCCAATACAATTTCTTTCAAATTCATTAAAATTTCATTTACCGATTCTTGAATTCCCGTTATGGTAGAATATTCATGTGGGAGTTTCTCATATTTACACGTGTGATACATGTTCCTCCAATTTCTCCAAGTAAATCTCTTCACATCACAACACATATTGTGTCGTTTTGGTCTGTCATCAGTAGAAACAAAATAAAACGTCCATTATAAAGGAGTTTACTGTCTGTTCTAGATTCAACACACTTTCACTATAGTGTTTGAGTAAATACTATTACTTTCTCTCAATATCTCCCCAGATTATTTTGACATTCATAATACCCCCCCACCCCCAATCTCGTCCTCAAATTATTTGCTATTAGAATTGCATAATGCAATACACATTGTGAGATATCTCACACTCGTTCCGAAAATGAAGTGTTTTTTCTTTATATGATCTTGACAAATCTTCACCTCTAGAACTAACTTTTGCGATTGAGTAAGGTCAACAATCTATTCTTTTAACATGGTATTCATCTTTTATAATTGGTTTACCTAATGTTGGATTCCAAGTTGTGTTAAAGTGTATGCCCCACAATGGTTGATCAATAAGGTGTTGTCCCCTTATAAGGTTTAAACAATTCACGTCTTATGAATTGGTTTTAAGCGTTGAATTAAATCTTTATAAAAGAAATAAGGAAAGAAAGATCCGTAGAAATATTTTAGACTTTGAATTAAACTACTTATATCAGCATATTACTAATAATAAACATATGGCTAACATCTTATTAATTTGAAATAAGCCTAATATTGTTATTACTATTAAATTTTTGTTATAAACTTAAAATCATTATACCTCGTTGTTTTATTTAAAAATATATAGTGTGGGAAAATGACTGAGTTTTCGAAAAACCGATTAAACTTATGGTTTAAGAGAAATCGAATCTTCAAAAGAACAGAGTCGCCACTTAATTTTTAGTAAAAAATCAAGAAAAAATACTTATGGTTTTCAAAAGATTTAAACAGATAAAATCAATTGAAAACGGGTTCGAAGTTCAATATACATTCCGAGAAGGTGTTAGGCCCTCGGAATGCCCGCTAACTTGCGGTTGACCGGCGATTTGACTAAAATGACTTTGACTAATTTTTGAGAAATTTAACATAAGAATATTTAAATAAATTACAATATTTAATTAATTTTGAGAAAATAATTAGATAAACGACACATTTTTCTTTTTAGAGAAAAGAATTCAAAATGACACATTGGACTTGTGATACGAGTAATTAGAATTTCAATAAAACTAGATTAATTAAAATTTATTTAATCCATTTTTTAAGATAATAATTTGAACCAATTAAAGCATGAGATCATTTTAAATCAATTGATAAAAAGAGAACACACACAATTTTATTTTATTTTAGTTCATTTGAGAAAAGTGTTAACTTAAAACCATTTAAATAAGCAAAATGATTAAAGGAAGAGGCATTCAAAACATGTCATTTTTAAAAAAAAACAAAAGAAAAAACAAAAGATTTAATTAAAATGAAACATGGCCAATATATTTGATTAGTAAGATAAAACAAAAACAAATATAAGAATGTATTAAAGGTAAGCCAATGTAAAGAAA